TCTTTGTAAGCTTTAATTTAATTGACCATAAATTAAAGATCTTTTTTTTTCTCAAAAATCTAAAGACAAAAGCATCAGCTACAACCGCTTACCACCATCAACAAACGCCTACCACAATCAGCAACAACCGCCTACCACAATCAGCAACAACCGTTTACCACAATCAGCAACAACCGCCTACCACAATCAGCAACAACTGCTTACCACCATCAGCAACAACAACCGATTACCACCATCATCAACAACCGCCTACCACCAACAGCAACAACCGCCTACCACCATCAACAACAACCGCTTACCACCATTAGCAACAACCGCTTACCACCATCAACAACAACCGCTTACCACCATTAGCAACAACCGCTTACTACCATCACAAACAACCGCTTACTACCATCAACAACAACCGCTTACTACCATCAACAACAACCGCTTACTACCATCAATAACAACTGCTTACTACCATCAACAACAACCGCTTACTACCATCAACAACAACCGCTTACTACCATCAACAACAATCGCTTACCACCATCAGCAACAACCGCTTACTACCATCAACAACAATCGCTTACCACCATCAGCAACAACCACTTACCACCATCAACAAAAACTGCTTACCACCATCAACAACAACCGCTTACCACCATCAGCAACAACCGCCTACCACCATCAACAACAACCGCTTACCACCATCAGCAACAACCGCTTACCAAATCAACAAATCGATCTCTATAAGGCTGAAGCACGAGAAAAATCGAAGGCCAATCGATGTAGTCTGACGTCAGAGAGTGGAACTGGCAGCCTGGAAGGGTCGTCACTCTGAGAGCCGACACCTCCAGCGTACTGGGTACATGGAGGCAGCCACCAGCTTGATTGCTTGCATTGTGGACACTTAACAGGCGTATCAATGCTTTCTATTTAGGTACTTGCTTACAGAGGATAGTTAAATACAGAGCGCAATCTCCATTGTGCACACACTAATGCATTTTGTATGTTATAGGCCTACACTCAATCGTGCAACTCTATGTATGTGCTTGATGGTGTTGAAGTCTACGCCCTTGTTTGGTGGTAGTGTATGTCGTTTATGTTTTATCCTGATGTGTGACACTCAGGCTGTGTGGAGTGATATGTCTAACCCATTGCTGTATGGATGTGGAGTGACATGTCACACCCTTGGCTGTATGGAGTGATGTGGGGTGATGTGTCACACTCAGGCTGTGTGAAGTGACGTGTCACACCTAGGCTGTGTGGAGTGATGTGTCACACCCAGGCTGTGTGGAGTGATGTGGAGTGATGTGGAGTGATGTGCAGTGATGTGTCACACTCAGGCTGTGTGGGGTGATGTGGAGTGATGTGTTACACTCAGGCTGTGTGGAGTGACGTGTCACACTCAGGCTGTGTGGAGTGATGTGGAGTGACGTGTCACACCCAGGCTGTGTGGAGTGACGTGTCACACTCAGGCTGTGTGGAGTGATGTGGAGTGATGTGTCACACCCAGGCTGTGTGGAGTAATGTGGAGTGACGTTTCATACTCAGGCTGTGTGTGGTGATGTGGAGTGATGTGTCACACCTATGCTGTGTGGAGTGATGTGTCACACCTAGGCTGTGTGGAGTGACGTGTCACGCCCAGGCTGTGTGGAGTGACGTGTCACACTCAGGCTGTGTGGGGTGATGTGGAGTGATGTGTCACACCTAGGCTGTGTGGAGTGATGTGTCACATCTAAGGCTGTGTGTAGTGACGTGTCTCACCCAGGCCGTGTGGAGTGATGTGGAGTGATGTGTCTCACCCAGGCTGTGTGGAGTAATGTGGAGTGACGTGTCACACTCAGGCTGTGTGGAGTGATGTGGAGTGATGTGGAGTGATGTGTCACACCCAGGCTGTGTGGAGTGATGTGTCACACTCAGGCTGTGTGGGGTGATGTGTCACACTCAGGCCGTGTGGAGTGATGTGGAGTGATGTGTCTCACCCAGGCTGTGTGGAGTAATGTGGAGTGACGTGTCACACTCAGGCTGTGTGGAGTGATGTGGAGTGATGTGGAGTGATGTGTCACACCCAGGCTGTGTGGAGTGATGTGTCACACTCAGGCTGTGTGGGGTGATGTGGAGTGATGTGTCACACCTAGGCTGAGTGGGGTGATGTGGAGTGATGTGTCTCACCCAGGCTGTGTGGAGTGAGTGTCACACCCAGGCTGTGTGTAGTGACGTGTCACACCCAGGCTGTGTGGAGTGATGTGTCACACTCAGGCTGTGTGGGGTGATGTGTCACACCTAGGCTGAGTAGGGTGATGTGGAGTGATGTGTCTCACCCAGGCTGTGTGGAGTGATGTGTCACACCCAGGCTGTGTGGAGTGATGTGTCACACTCAGGCTGTGTGGAGTGATGTTTCACACCTAGGCTGAGTGGGGTGATGTGGAGTGATGTGTCTCACCCAGGCTGTGTGGAGTGTGTGTCACACCCAGGCTGTGTGGAGTGATGTGTCACACTCAGGCTGTGTGGAGTGATGTGTCACACTCAGGCTGTGTGGAGTGATGTGTCACACCTAAGCAGTGTGGAGTGATGAGGAGTGATGTGTCACACCCAGGCTGTGTGGAGTGATGTGTCACACTCAGGCTGTGTGGGGTGATGTGGAGTGATGTGTCACACCTAGGCTGAGTGGGGTGATGTGGAGTGATGTGTCTCACCCAGGCTGTGTGGAGTGAGTGTCACACCCAGGCTGTGTGTAGTGACGTGTCACACCCAGGCTGTGTGGAGTGATGTGTCACACTCAGGCTGTGTGGGGTGATGTGTCACACCTAGGCTGAGTGGGGTGATGTGGAGTGATGTGTCTCACCCAGGCTGTGTGGAGTGATGTGTCACACCCAGGCTGTGTGGAGTGATGTGTCACACTCAGGCTGTGTGGAGTGATGTTTCACACCTAGGCTGAGTGGGGTGATGTGGAGTGATGTGTCTCACCCAGGCTGTGTGGAGTGTGTGTCACACCCAGGCTGTGTGGAGTGATGTGTCACACTCAGGCTGTGTGGAGTGATGTGTCACACCTAAGCAGTGTGGAGTGATGAGGAGTGATGTGTCACACCCAGGCTGTGTGGAGTGATGTGTCACACTCAGGCTGTGTGGAGTGATGAGGAGTGATGTGTCACACTCAGGCTGTGTGGAGTGATGAGGAGTGATGTGTCACACCTAGGCTGTGTGGAGTGATGTGTCACACTCAGGCTGTGTGGAGTGATGTGTCACACCTAAGCAGTGTGGAGTGATGAGGAGTGATGTGTCACACCCAGGCTGTGTGGGGTGATGTGTCACACTCAGGCCGTGTGGAGTGATGTGGAGTGATGTGTCTCACCCAGGCTGTGTGGAGTAATGTGGAGTGACGTGTCACACTCAGGCTGTGTGGAGTGATGTGGAGTGATGTGGAGTGATGTGTCACACCCAGGCTGTGTGGGGTGATGTGGAGTGATGTGTCACACCTAGGCTGAGTGGGGCGATGTGGAGTGATGTGTCTCACCCAGGCTGTGTGGAGTGAGTGTCACACCCAGGCTGTGTGTAGTGACGTGTCACACCCAGGCTGTGTGGAGTGATGTGTCACACTCAGGCTGTGTGGGGTGATGTGTCACACCTAGGCTGAGTGGGGTGATGTGGAGTGATGTGTCTCACCCAGGCTGTGTGGAGTGATGTGTCACACCCAGGCTGTGTGGAGTGATGTGTCACACTCAGGCTGTGTGGAGTGATGTTTCACACCTAGGCTGAGTGGGGTGATGTGGAGTGATGTGTCTCACCCAGGCTGTGTGGAGTGTGTGTCACACCCAGGCTGTGTGGAGTGATGTGTCACACTCAGGCTGTGTGGAGTGATGTGTCACACCTAAGCAGTGTGGAGTGATGAGGAGTGATGTGTCACACCCAGGCTGTGTGGAGTGATGTGTCACACTCAGGCTGTGTGGAGTGATGAGGAGTGATGTGTCACACTCAGGCTGTGTGGAGTGATGAGGAGTGATGTGTCACACCCAGGCTGTGTGGAGTGACGTGTCACACCCAGGCTGTGTGGAGTGATGTATGACATAGAACTTTCTACATTCAAATGCTATGTGTTCCACAAGTCAATATTTATGGCATTGATCACAGCATTCGGCTGTCTGCTAAACCCTTTTAATACAATGCATCTATTTACTGTGCTAATGGGGAAAGCTAATTGGAATGCATTAATCTACAGTAGCGTTCAGGCTTTTTACACTATGATTGTTAGAAGATACTAATGAAACTAAACGTAAAAGGAAGCTTTTAAATCCAAATGAATGTTGCATTCACTTTATGAAGTTACAAATGGGATATGCCAATAAATAATTTACAAGGTATGCAATAAACAATCTACCAATCTACCTAACACTAACAAGCGGCCTACTAAATATTATCAACTAGCCTGAGACTTTTGATCATCCCACCCTAAACTATGTAGCTACCTACTACAATGACTAAACCTACCCTAAACTGGGAACAGTGCATTCCCCCCCCCCCTGTCAATTACCCCCCTTTTTCTTAAGGTTTTGATTAAAGTAGTATATAGGTATAAAATTCTAGTTAGAGTTAGGATTTTAACTTGAGGGGGGGGGGGGGGTAATTCCCCAGGGGGGTAATTGACAGGAGGGTAATTGCTCCGGGGGGTAAATACGGGGGGGGGGAATGTCCGGGGGGAAATATCCAGGGGGGTAATGTCCTGTAGCCCCCTAAACTATCTAGAAACCTACTACAATAGATTAAACCTACCCTAAACTATTTTGCTACCTACTGCAATATACTAAACCTATCCAAGACAGTTGTTAACCTACCATAGATTATCTAAGAACCTACTACATATCAGCTTATCCTGATTAGATATCAACATACCCTGGTGGTGAGATGTCTATCTTCTAGAAGTAGTTTTTTCTCACCAAGAGTTGTGTAAGAGAAGCTCGCTTACCCTCGAATGTCTACCACAAAGCACTTGTTACATCATTTCATACAAGACTTACCTCATTCTCAATGACTTTATGTTTTGGATTTTTATTTGCAACCCCAGATAATGAACTTCTTTGAAGAGAAAGCTGTTTTGGCTTTTTTGTTTCAATAACTGGATCTTTTCTGAAAAAAAAAACATTTTCATAATATAAAGAATATCCTGAGGCTGGGGTGAGGTACATTACAACGCACCACCACTACACCTTTGGAATTGAATAATGCTGAGATCATTTTTTTAAAAGGCAAATATACAACATAAATTACCTTTCAACCTTGATATCAACATATTCACTCAACAATGAAGGAAATGATGATTTCATTTCTTTCATTTTCTAAGTACAGCTCTCTGAAACAGGGTCATTATATGATGAATACATTTAAAAAAAAATTTAATCGAAAATAAATCTTCAAGATAAGGCTTTGAAAATCTGAATTAAAATGTGCTTAGATCATTGATACACAATTTACATCTTCATGTATCATAACATTTAATGGTTATGCATTTCTACACTAAAACTTGTAATAAATAATGTTAGATGGAAATTCTCAACATCATTCCCAAACAAACAAAATCACCTTTAACATGATTACAAAATATATTAATGCAGGAAATAGATGATGCATGTGTAGAGGGGTGCGTTGGTGTGTGGCATCTAGAGGCTGGGAAAAGTGGCATCTGTTTTAGGGTCTGGAGAAAAGGTCTGCTGAGGGAAGAGTTAGCAGGTGAGGAGTTGGGAGATTATTTGCAAGTTTTCCATTAGGTCTTTCTTTATTTCATAAGCTAAACTGATTTTAATTCCATGAGATTACGCAACAATTTTAATTATTTTGTGAAGTTACAATAAAAGAAAAAAACATTGTCCATATTATGTGTGTAATTGTATATATGTACATTACAAATTAATCTAAAAATAGAGAAACAACTAAAGTAGTAATCTGAACCTACAGCAGATATTAATGGCACACATATAATATTTAGGCATAGTATAAAGTCTTAACCCTCTTTAATTCTTCTGGAGATAGGGCCCCAACCATAACCTTCCTTTTTATCCTGTACCTGGTTGTTGATTTAGCAGCGACCTGGGTTAATTTCAGATTTGGCTTTGGTTCCTGTAACAGTGTATCAGTAGGCCTAATTTGTTTCATGTGGACTAGTAGTAGTATTAGTTTGGCCTATATTTAACTAGGTCTATATACTACATTTACTTATTAGATCTACATACATAGTTATTATATAAGGGCCTGCAATAAGCCTATGCCTTACATACATACATAACAAAGCGGCTAATTTAAAAAATCATTTTAATAGGCCCTATATTTCTGATTACATTTGTTATGGCTCGTTACTTAAATTTCTAGAACTAGATTACCTAATCTAGAATAATCTAGATTAGATCATAGAGATTTAGAAAAAAAAATTGGCTAGATTCTAGAAGACATAAAATCTACAAATAATACTAATAATAGTAAATAGTAATAGTAACTTAATAGTTAGTTACTAACTAATATTTTAGCCTACTTATTGAGTAAGGGGTCATCCATAAATGACTTCACGCTTTTTTTGACGATTTTTAACCCCCCCCCCCCCCCTCCGTCACACGTCATCACAAAAAGCCAGACCCCCACCCCATAAAATGACATCACACCTCAGCCTACAACCCACCTTCAAAATCTTTTTAAACATCTCAATATTTTTCTAAAATATTGTCTGAACTCTGTCAAAATAGAGTATTTTAATCAATTCCTATTACAATTTATTAAAACAGTTTTCTAAAACGCGAAACAGCGTCTGAAATTCGTTTTCTAACATTGCTTTTTTATAATGCAAAAGTGTGACGTCGCACCATCTGACCCCCCCCCCCCCCCCTCATCACACACCATCACAAAATTACGGACCCCCCTCCCCCCTACGAGTGTGACGTCATTTATGGCCGACCCCTAAGATCTAGAAAATAAATCTACACATTATTCCAATATGCTCTAGCTAGGCCTATACATTATTTTGACAATTTTCAGATTATTATTATGTATTAATATTTTTTCAATTTTGTCAACAACTTGTTAACTCAACAAGTTGAACACAAAAGCAAATAAATAAACTGAACTCACGAACTCAATCAGTCAATGGCTGCTGGTTACAGATTACTAAGGAGATCAGTCTCAGGTCTCAGATTACAGAACATTGATTGGAACAAATACCTATAAAATATTTAAAACATAAATGTTCACGTTACAATTTTTTAGCATCCAGCTCTATACTATCTAGATCGATATTCTATACTTCATGAGCTTTCTTGATAGTAGAATCTAGATCTAAATAGATATATCTAGATCTTAATATATTTTTATTGTTAATGATTTCAGTGAAAGATCTGGTTGTTACCCATAAACATCCGGTTTTTCTTTATAGTTAACTCCCTTATAATCATAGCCTACACTTTCGCTTTTAAATTTAAAATCAAAAGCTGGTTTAGTCTAGATTAGATTAGATCCAATTTAGTTTCTAGATCTAGATCTAGATCTAGATCTAGAAGTTCTAGATTAGAAACAAAGATAAAATCTAGAAACTAGACCTAGACTACCTAGACAGATCTAGAATCTAGATCTATGCAGCATTAGAGTCTATGCCTGATATATCATAATCTTACGTCTTACTCATTAGTTGGCAGTGCATTTAATTTTAGAACCAGTATTGACTCAGTAATTGAGATTTGAGAGTATTGATTAATTAATTAATTAAATTTGATTAATTATTAATTAATTTAAAAAATTATCTAGAGATCTAGATCTATGTACTAATATATTAGTAGTATTACAACTGGGCATAGGCCTATCCCCTATACCAGGGGTCTCCAAACTTTTCAGTCCGAGGGCCGCATTAATTATCAAATTTCAGTTCGGGGGCCGGTTTCTTCCTGGCATGTCTTTAATTTTTCTGGTCAAAGTTCCTCAGCCATCACCAACAAACGCTTTTTTCCGTGGACAAAAAGATCTCGACGGGCCGGATGAGAGGACTTCGCGGGCCACATCTGGCCCGCGGGCCGTAGTTTGGAGACCCCTGCCCTATACTATAGTCTATGCAGTATTATTTATACTATGGTATTTAACCTAAAACTTTTACTTAAAAATATGAAAAAATAATTAAAATATACTCAAATATAGTCTGTACTCTATACTTATAGGCCTAAATTGCCCCAAATAAAATAAAAAGTAAAGTTCGCCTTCCAAACCTGATGGTCCATGGGTTAAGTGAAATATGTCACCGCCTTTTTTTCCCTAATGTGAGTTAGGTACCCATCAGAGCTGGGTGGACCCAGGGACGGTTGACTGACTTGAACCCGGATTTGAACTTGAGACTTACGGGTTAGCAGTCTAACTCTGTACTGCTAGTCCACTCAATACCCTTTAAATTGTTGTCCATAAATGACATCACACTCATTGGGGGAGGGGGGGTGCGTAATTTTGTGATGGTGTGATGATGAGGGGGAGGGGGGGTGTTTAGATGTTGTGATGTCACACTTGTGCATTATAAAAAAGGAATGCTAGAAAATGAATTTTAGCCTTTATTTCATGTTTTAGGAAACTGTTTTAATAAAGGGTAATAGAAATTGATTAAAACACTCTATGTTGGCAGAGTTCAGACAAGATTTCGGAAAAATATCGCTGTTTTAAAAAAAATTCAACTGCAATTTTGAAGGGGTTTTGTAGGCTATGGTGTGATGTCATTTTAGGGGGGGAGGGGTCTGGCTTATTGTGACGGAGATGAAGGGGGAGGAAAAAAGTGGACATCATTTATGGATGACCCCTTACTAATAAATCCTTACTTTCTCTAGTAAACTAATATTAGTTTTTTTTTTTAAGTTTAAGTCAGTCTGAGCAAAATTTAATGAATTTTTTTATCTAGCCACCTTATCTTTATTTCTTTATTATATTCATCTAGATCTAATGCATGCACAAAACGTGTAGAGTAGGCCTATTTTGGTATATAATTAATTTAAACCAATTGAATATCATATATATTTTTTTTCAGAATGAAAGTGAAATTTCTAGAATGTTGACACTCATTTCCAAAATAGTTGGCTATGTGTTCAACCATAACGAGCCAACTACCCCTGCACAACCAGATACCACCACAGAGCCAAGTGAAATTGATGATCCATTTAAAGATACACCATTTTTGCCGATCTCTTATGAAGACCAGTTGAAGACTTCCATGCAAAATGGAACTGTTACTCGTATTTTACAAGGCCATGGGTTAATAGATAACAATTTCTATTTCTCTGTGTCAGATATCCAGGGGAGTTACACACCAGAGGTCTAACATTTGTTCACTTTAACAGTTTTTTTCTCTGCTTTTTAACAAGTTAAATTATGTATATAGGTATAATTATATGTAGGTGTGTAAAGAGTAAGGTAGTTCTTGCTGCTTGATGACTCCTTTTTTCACATACTTATATCCCTTTAACACCTGTATGTTGTTGTATTTTATTATATAGTATGTTTATAGTGCTTATCCCTTATTGTAAACATCACCAACTAATGAACTTCTGTTCCACATGGAAGGTTGGAGACAGTGTTTTCTTCAAGGCTGTACAGCAGAATACAAATGCCGGCTGGCGTGCTGAAGATATTACAAAAAATGACCAGTCATGGGAAGCTGAAGCAACCAAAGAAGTAAAAGAAATTGATCTCAACATTTTACAAGGTTCTTGTGTTCTAGGCAAAGTAACTTATGTAAATAATGGCATTGGAAAAATCAACGATGACATCAGCTTTGAACTGGATAAATGTTTGGATGGTTTTATCCCAAAGAGGGGAGACTGGGTATCTGCTAATGTTAAAGAGTCAGAAGAATTATCTACAGGTGAAATTTTCTTTAAAATATAAAAATTATTCAATACATTTTTTTACCCAGCTTACAGTGGTTTCATTTTTTAATTTTGTTTGAAATAATTTTTTGAAATGGAATGTTATAGATGAATGGAACCAAAGTTGCAAGAAAACAAAACAGGCTTATAATATCTGTCCTACAAGAACTAAAACCTTAGATGGTACAATATCAGCTGTTAGACAAGATCATGGTTTTATTAATGAAGATGTAAGTGTTGTGTAAGACATATTGTATCCTTTCCTATATATTGTATGTGTTGTGTAACATACATTTTATCTTCCCCTTTATATTGTAAGTGTTGTGTAAGACACATTGTATCTTCCCCTATATATTGTAAGTGTTGTGTAAGACACATTGTATCTTCCCCTTTATATTGTAAGTAACAAAATCAGACAGATCAGCATCACTTATTAAGGCTCTTCACCAGCTAAGTCTTAGTGTAAAGGTGGATAATTCTTTTAAAGCATTGATATCCTTAGCTAACCATTAGCATGCTTAGTTCCCATTAAAAAGCCATGTTTTGACTTATTTTAATGTATTGCTTACCTATTAGTTGGGTTAATTAGAGAAATTTGTATTGCATATTGAGCAGATATTTTTTGATAAATCATCCTGTGTAAATGGCTACTGGCCCAAAAGGAATGAAGTGGTTAGAGTGGTGGCTATTGAGAGTTCTCAAGGGAGGACTTGTGAGTGGCGCGCAATTAGTGTTGTACCCCTGTCTAGTGGATCACAAGCTAACAGGTATGGTGTTGTCCTGACATAAATCTGTGTTAGCTGTGGTCTTGTCTGATCACAAGCTAACAGGTATGGTGTTGTCCTGACATAAATCTGTGTTAGCTGTGGTCTTGTCTGATCACAAGCTAACAGGTATGGTGTTGTCCTGACATAAATCTGTGTTAACTGTGGTCTTGTCTGATCACAAGCTAACAGGTATGGTGTTGTCCTGACATAAATCTGTGTTAACTGTGGTCTTGTCTGATCACAAGCTAACAGGTATGGTGTTGTCCTGACATAAATCTGTGTTAACTGTGGTCTTGTCTGATCACAAGCTAACAGGTATGGTGTTGTCCTGACATAAATCTGTGTTAACTGTGGTCTTGTCTGATCACAAGCTAACAGGTATGGTGTTGTCCTGACATAAATCTGTGTTAACTGTGGTCTTGTCTGATCACAAGCTAACAGGTATGGTGTTGTCCTGACATAAATCTGTGTTAACTGTGGTCTTGTCTGATCACAAGCTAACAGGTATGGTGTTGTCCTGACATAAATCTGTGTTAACTGTGGTCTTGTCTGATCACAAGCTAACAGGTATGGTGTTGTCCTGACATAAATCTGTGTTAACTGTGGTCTTGTCTGATCACAAGCTAACAGGTATGGTGTTGTCCTGACATAAATCTGTGTTAGCTGTGGTCTTGTCTGATCACAAGCTAACAGGTAAGGTGTTGTCCTGACATAAATCTGTGTTAACTGTGGTCTTGTCTGATCACAAGCTAACAGGTAAGGTGTTGTCCTGACATAAATCTGTGTTAACTGTGGTCTTGTCTGATCACAAGCTAACAGGTAAGGTGTTGTCCTGACATAAATCTGTGTTAACTGTGGTCTCATCTTGTTTTATGCCTGTATAGACTAATCATTACTTAAACACATCATGGTGAACTGGTAGGCCTGAAATCAGTGGCTTCAGAGGTTAGCAGTGTGCTAATATTTTGATAAATATGTGTTAAAACTGATGATATATTAGAGTGTTTATATATACTATAATTAACATGAGTTGATAGTGGAAATAATTTTTCTAATGCCTGATCATTTTAGGTCTAAGAAATATGAACAAACAAGAGAGAGGAATAATTCATGGTTAATACCTGGCCAGCGACCAAGAAGGTTTGTTGATTTTTCTATTTTTTTCTGACAGTCACTGTTGAAGTTTAATTTTAACAATTTTACATTAGTAAAATTATAGCTTTTATTGATAATATTATGAGATATAATTTAGACTAATGGGTCTCTTGTATCAAGCAAAAGATGAAATATTGGAAGCTTTTTAAAAATGCTTTTACTTTCAGCTGTATACCTAAAATTCAGCTTCCAGTAAAACTTCCGCATTACACTGTCCCCACTGAACTAGAGCAGCATTTAATAGATGGGGATGAGCTGACTACTTTAATGCCTTATCTATCACAAGTTGGTTCTTTGTTTATTCTAATTATTTTTTGTATCTCTTTTAAATCTATAACTTGTAATCCAAATGTTCATATTGACTATAAATATTTATATATAGTTTGACTTATCAAATAACCTTGTGTATTTGGTTTAATTCAATAAAACTGTAGGAACTTAGTTTTCATAACTATGTGAGACGTATGTCAACTTTGCTGCACCTAGAAGAAATTCAAATGAAACTGGACATTCGACAGTTTGATATGTCTCGGGTAATTTAATGTTATATTGAGTTACTTTTTATATATATTTTATTTTATAGAGAAGAAAAAATGTTTTTGATAGGTTGTATCTGTTCCTTTTATGTGTTTTGTTGGTGGAGCAAAATATTTTCTCTATACTGAAGTTGTACAGTGAATTGTAGAAAGGTTTGTTATTTCTAATGATCTCAATTGAAAGGTGTTTGTATTCTATGTTAAAACCAACGTGAACCACCATGTTAGTGGGTTTTTTTTTACTGTACATTTTTTGATCACTTGTATAAATTGGCACTATCCCTTCTTGTGCCAAGGTCACAGAAACAGGTGAACTCTTCTTCACTTGTCCCATCAGGTTCAAAAAGAGACCTTTTTAAAAAATTAACTAAAACTTTTGAAAGATATTTGATTGAATACGTAATTTTATTCATTTAAAAAATTATTTTTTAACTTATTACAAATAGTGAAGAAAATATCTTTAAATAGAAGATCATGTACATATGACTTTATCATGTGAATTTGTATTTAAAACTTATGTCCAGGTGGCATTGCATCCGGCGGGTGAATTTTTAGCTCTTACTGTTCCGGGTCTGGCTGAAGGGAGACCATCAGTTCTGATAGGAGACAAAATCATTTTGTCCAGTCCATCAGACCCTGATGGTCCCAGATATGAAGGATATGTCCATGAGGTTTGTTTCTCTGCATTGATTTGCATACTTGTCTTAATGGCCTAGCTACTTTCTAAATAAAGAAACATTTTTTTTATATATTTCTGAACAAACTAAATGTAGATTTTTTTTTTCAATTTACTGCTGTGCATCTTTGAATAAACAAATTAAATCCAGAAATTTATATAGCCTTTTAAAAAAACAACTGAGATTAAAGTATTTTAAATTGAAAAGATATTTATTTTAGCCAGCAGTTATTTATTGTAAAGGAAGCAAATGTTGGTATTGATTACATACTTTCTATAATAAATTCTGTCATGCAACCTTGGTCTAAAACATGTTAAAATAGTACAAATAAGACACAGTACTCAATATTAAATCTGTCAACTTCTATCAATAATAAAGATCTATAGCTATGCAATTGGGTTTTCAAAACTAAGAACTTTCATTATGTTGTAGATGATTTGATTTAAATGAGGTGAAAAAATTATTTTAGCAACATTTTTGTGAACCAATTCTTTATCAAATTTTTGTTTTTTTGTTTTTATATAGTTAACTTGCACTGAAGTACACTTGAAATTCAACCCAGAATTTCATTCCCGCTACAACAACGAAGACTACAATGTTGAATTTACATTTAGAAGGTTTTTATTATTTTAACTTAAGAAAAAATAACCTTATTTAAAAATGGTTGTTGAAGAGTGTTTAATAATATTTTTTTTTTTTGGTACATTTTTTAAAATCTCAACTTTTTGTTTTTAAATTTTTGATCATAATTTTAGGTCAGTTAATGATCTCTTACTTCCACTTATATGCTGTTGATTATTTAAAAAATTGTGTCATCATTGTCTGGTAATTGATTGGATGGGTTTGACTTAACCAGCTACTTTTGCCTATGTCTAGAAGTCAGCTGCGAAGATGTCACCAGGCTGTGTCTTTGGCCGTACAGTTCTTGACATCAAAAGGTAACTTGATTGCATCATCAAAAACAAACTAATTAAAACATTTATATTTAAAAAAATAATTAAACAATAATGACATTTTCAACTTGTTCTCAGTTTTGTTTCCAAAAGAAGTGGAATTGAAAGAGCCACTGGTAAAATTGTTAAGAAAAAATCCTCAGCTGAACACAGCTAAAACAGATGACAGCCTTACATCATACAGCAACATTCACTTCTTTAACCCTTGCTTAAATGAGAGACAAAAAACTGCTGTGGCAAAGATTTTAATGGGACAAGCTCGGCCACTACCATACGTTATATTTGGTCCACCTGGTGAGTTTAACTTGGTTTAAGGGATACAACTCTGCTTTTAAAATCTACAATAGTCAGCTGAAATTACTTGCACTATACCTTAAAAAGTCATACATGTTTAGAAATATACACTTTGGTTTGTATTGAATACTTTTCCATGACCAACTGTTCAGGTACTGGCAAGACAATAACAGTTGTAGAAGCCATCCTACAAGTACTAACCATGGTTCCTTCCAGCCGCATCATTGCTTGCACTCCCTCCAACAGTGCTGCTGACCTTATTGTGAGTTCTCCCCCCCTTGTTTGGGCAGTCAATTTCTTTACAAACTTGGCTTCACACTTGTCTCTATAGACCTAGTAACAGTTTCAGCGTTTTCAATCCCGACATAATATCGGGTTTCTTTTTTATAATTTTTTTTGTATTATTAATTATAACTTGTATATTTCTTTATAATATCAGCTTTAGCTATTTTTAAATTTTTCAATTAAAGGTTTTTTTAAATACCTATAAAAATCAGTTTTTGCTTTAAAAAATGTCTATTATATTAGTTCCAGCTGTTAAAAAAAAATTTCTCTGTAATATTCAAAGTTTGAATTGATGCATGTATTGCAGACAGAGAGACTACACCTCAGCAATGCTGTTCAACAGACACAGATGGTCCGGCTCAATGCTTTTCAGAGATCAGCAGATGTAATTTTTATTTTCATGTACATCTTCATAACCTTTTTGTGTGTGTCTGTTTTTTACATGAACAATTAGTATGTTTACTTGTGTTTTTTTTAAATTCACAATAACAGCAAATGACTAATGATTTAAAATTTTCATTTACTTAGAACATTCCAGAAAGTATTCTGAAATACTGTAAATTTGGGGAAGACCTTGAGAACATTGCAAGACATCGAGTTATTATATGTACCTGCACAATGGCTGGAACTCTGTATGCACTGGGTATCAGAGGGGGTCACTTCACACATGTTTTTGTGGACGAGGTCAGGCTTTTCTTATTGCATTCTTTTAACATTTTGATCTCTATCAAAACAACTTTTATTCAATATTATAATTTTTCTACTCAGTGTGGCCAAGCAACTGAACCAGAATGTTTAATTCCAATGGGACTTGTATCAGGTGCAGAGGGGCAGGTAAGGCATTAAAACTTAATGGTCAGGTTAGTCAGTGAAACCTAATGGTCAGGTTAGTCAGTGAAACCTAATGGTCAGGTGAGTCAGTGAAACCCAATGGTCAGATGAGTCAGTGAAACCTAATGGTCAGGTTAGTCAGTGAAACCTAATGGTCAGGTTAGTCAGTGAAACCTAATGGTCAGGTTAGTCAGTGAAACCTAATGGTCAGGTTAGTCAGTGAGACTGAATTTAATTGTCAGGTTAGTCAGTGAGACTGAATTTAATTGTCAGGTAAGTCAGTGAGACTGAATTTAATTGTCAGGTAAGTCAGTGAGACTGGATTTAATTGTCAGGTAAGTCAGTAAAACCTAATGATCATGTAAATTAATTAGCAGTTTTAGTACTTTATATTTTCAGATAAAATGTAGATTTTGTATGCCAATTATATTTTCTCCTAGATAATTTTGGCTGGTGATCCAAAGCAACTTGGTCCAATAATCATGTCTCCATTAGCTAAACTGTATGGTCTAGAGCTGTCCCTACTTGAGAGATTAATGGATCGCGCACCATACCTCAGGGACAACACAGAAGCTGCTGAACATGGAGGCTTTGACTCAGCTCTTGTAAGCACTATCTTTGTAGTCATCACCTTGTAACAAATATTTTAGAATTTTGAATGCATCCATTGTGTATTTTCCTATTATACAGTTTTGAATATTGCAGGTAGTTTTTTAAAGATTAAACTTTCTTTGTACTTTCTGATGGCAAATATAGTTTTAAATACCAAACTATTTTGGCCAGTTAACTGAAACATGTTTAACACCAAACTATTTTGTTCTGCCTCAGGTGACCATGCTAGTTTATAAACACCAAACTGTTTTGGCCAGTTAACTAAAGCATGTTTATATATAGCACCAAACTACTTTGTTCTGCCTCAGGTGACTATGCTAGTCAACAATTACAGATCTCACCCAGATATTTTGGCTCTGCCCTCTCGTCTCTTCTACTATAATCAACTGGAGCCATTTGCTGACCCAAGCTTGACCCACACTCTCGCTAAATGGAAATTGCTACCAAAGTCAGGGTTTCCAATTATTTTTCATGGAATACGAGTAAGATCATTTAAGTCTACAGTATTAATTAGCCCTCCTTTTGTGAAAATTAAAATCTTAATGCTGCACAACACCATGCCTAACAGCTATTAGAATATTTTTAGGCTGTTAAGTTCTAGCCTGAGTCCTTATAGAATGGTTTCCAGTAACACAATCAGATTGAATGTACAAAGATATTGTTCCTTCCCCCCCTCCCCCCCCCCTTATAGTTTTAAGGGTCAGGGTTAGGGCTTGGCGTAAACTAATGTCTAGGGTTGGGCTGAGGTGAATGCTTAGGTTGAGGCTTTTTCTCAGGGTTATGATTAAGGTAAGAGTTGAATTTGGTTTCAGGGTTCTTAAACAGCTTGGGGTAGGGGAGTAATGTCCTAGACCTGTGGTTCTTTTTGACTAGGGGAAACTACCCACTTTTTTTTCTCCTTGGAAAGGTTCTGTAACATTTAATTATCAACAAAGTGTATGCATGGGTTATTGTAGCTTACATTAAAAAATTACTCACTTTAGAACACAGTATTTTATTGAGCTGACTAAAATAAGCTCCTACATAGAAAAACCCTTTCAGGTTGTCAATACACTGTGTACACATTTAAACTCGTGCATTGGGTAATCTTTCAAGTTATTTTTAAGAATTGATGTTTGTGTATGCAAATTTCATTTCTGATTGTTCTTTTAAAAAAAGAAAGAGACAATATGTTTATAAGAGAGTAAAACTTGCAGAGACGTGATAAAAGTTTGAATGAATGGGATGGTACATTTTACAGGGGACTGACATCAGAGAGACAAATAGCCCATCCTGGTTTAACCCTGAGGAAACCATCTATGTGGTCAAGTATTTACAAGGTGTATTAAAAGAAGGAGTCAAACCAGAAGACATTGGCATCATCACACCCTACAGGAAACAGGTGACTATACCAGGCTCACTCAGAACCAATGAAGAGAGTTTCTAGCTGTACTTTTTATGTTTTAAATGGCTGTTGTTTATAAAGATTTTCTTGAATCATCAGGTAGAAAAAATTTGTCTGTTAAATGGCTGTTGTTTATAAAGATTTTCTTGAATCATCAGGTAGAAAAAATTTGTCTGATGATTGACAGACTTGGAATACCAGAGGTAAAAGTTGGGTCAGTGGAAGAGTTTCAAGGACAGGAGCGCCAAGTCATCATTATTTCTACAGTGAGTCTTTAATGAGCAGCAGTTTCAAGTGCTTGTCTAACTTGTACATGTGTTTTTTACTAATAACTATACTTGTTCTATTGAAAACATTCATTTTAAAACAATGAACCTGCGATCATCCAGGTACGGTCCAATGAAAAACTAATTGGCAGCGATGTCAGACACACCCTGGGATTTCTCAGCAACCCAAAGAGATTCAACGTCTCAATCACACGAGCTATTTCACTACTCATTTTGGTGGGAAACCCTTTTGTCTTAGGTCTGGTGAGTAGGTTTTCATGTTATTTCAGTTGTAAAAGTTACAGTTTTGTCACAAAGAATTTAGTTTCAAGTCCAGTGAAGAACCAGTATAAAGTATTATTAAAATGTCTGCAGCTCTGGTAAAACTTCTTCCAAAATGTTCAGCAGAAGCTTTTAAAATTTTCCATAAAGTTAGTACTAAATGACGTTTGGATGCAACAGTTTAAATTATGACAGAAAATGTCTTCTCTCTCTAGGATGCTAACTGGCGGTCACTTATTCAGTACTGCAATGAGAAAGGAGGCTATACGGGATGTGATTTACCAGATTTTTCACAAAAACCTGTCTTTAAAGCTTGATTTTCCTCACAAGTTAACCGTTACTGATAAATTGCTTGTTATTCTTTTTAAGACTAGACAAAAGTTCTGACCATTTTGCCCAGAAAAATTGCTTTTTGTACATTTGCAATAAAATGTATGGTAAAGGCAGTTCTTGATTTTAAAAAACCCATTCCGTCCCAAAATGTAGTGTATCATTTTTTAAAACAAATGAAGCAAGCAATAAATTGTATGGTACATAGATGTACTACAGCAGTATATGGTAGTTTATAATTTACAGTCATTCACAAATGTATTAAATTGAATAGAAATTATTTAAAATGAGCTATGTGGTGATTAAATGTGCTTTAACTGTAAAGCATATTTTTAAAGTTTAGTTTATTGCATTGATAAATCGAGAGCTGATCAGTTCATGTAATTTTGTGTTCTTGTTCATAATTTTGTTAATAAATCTTTTTTTCTCAACCACTTTGTCTAATTTTTATCAAATTAATTATTTTTAAAAAATAACAAAAAATCACCAAGTTACATAATTGTATTTAATCCAAACGCTATAAATAAGCTTATTATAGTCTTAATGATAATGAAGTTGTGAACCAATTTAGCATATACTTCATTCACTAATGAGCACATGACAAATCTAGGGGTTGTTCATAAAATAAATTTAGCAGTAATTTCGTATTTATAATAGACTAGTAATTTGTAATAATTGATATTGATCAAAGTACATATATTTGACCCAGCTCAGTTATTTCAGAAAAGATCCAAAAAAAATTAAGAACCAAATTGAGAAGTTAAGGGAACATCAGTATGGAATTTTTTAACAATAAAAAATTATATGGACAACCCTTAAACAGAAGTAAATTATTTTTTCTTTAAAAGGTGTTTAACACCCTTGAAAATTCTAAAAGAAAGGAAAAAATAACTTAAAATTTTAAAGAATAAATAGTTTTGAAATCAGCATTATGCTAGAACAGATGTATCTTTTATCTAAAGGTTACAAGTGTGACTTAAAACTAGATTATCATTAATCTTGGCAAGCAATACATTGGCATATTGAGTAAAATGAATATAATACTTTCTTAATGAACTGTAGCAATGAATAAACTAGAAATGGAATAGAAATTTTATAATAAATCATTATTTAGTCCTGAATAAGAGAGATTTGAAAATGTGACAAAAATGTAATCATTTACTTGTAAGTAAATAAAGCAGGTAAAACATCTAAAGACGAAGGTATCTACATTCCTAAGTACAAGTTTGTCATTTCCCTGAATGTTTTACATTTCTTTAGATCATATTGCTTAATAACATCTTTTAATCTGAAATGAAAGACTGGATTCAACAATAAAAACAAAATTTTCTCTCTTGGTCTAAACCACATTATTGAGAAAAACAAAATCCATCCAACTGTTTGTGCTTTGGTACAAAATCCAGTGGACCACAGGTTCTCTTGCTCAACTCTCCATACAAACAACCAGACCAAATAAAGAAACAAAAAGAGAAACCCACCCAATTTAACATATCAGAAATTTATATATATATATTTATTTATTTATTAGTATTAGATGAGGCAAAAAAAATTTCTGATACAAAAACTAGTTTCTGAAAATCCTTATTCGTTTTCCAAATGCCTTGTTCTTGTTTACTCAAAAAGAAATAGGAAATTCATCTGGCTGATGTCAAATAAATTATGTTACTTTCTTTTTAAAATAGTGTAAGAAAAGAAAAATAAAACTAAAAAGGAAATGCAAACCTATTTAAAATCTATGGATCGTAATCTTTTATATTTGAAAAACTAAACTTTGTTTTAACTCTTTCAGTTCCAAAAAAGCCTAAATTTTCATTCCTTCACAGTTGTAGAAAAAGATTTTAAAAAACGTAACATACATAGGATACTGTTTATATCTGTTTAACTAGCAGACAAATGTTCTGTTGATACTGAAAGGGTTAAAACAATCAATCAAAAAACACACATGCACTGACACTCAAAGTATTGTATATATTAAAGCAAGATTGACGATGATCAAGTGCTAGGTTCAGCTATGTACTTGTATAATTTGGATGCCTGGTAGCAAATATCTTCATCATCATGTCTAGTCAAGCGAAAAACTTTGCTACGCAGGTTGCTCACCAGATCAAGGCCAGTCAGTTTCATAAACAAAGTCTCAGGTGACTCGACTTTCTCATCAACAGGCAAGGAGATAGCAGTCAGTTTATTCTGGTCAATAACACTGTGGATGTTAGCCAGCATGGTCACAGCTCGTAGGATGACATCATTTTGTGATGGTCTATCTAGCAATTCTAAAAGCTTTTCTGGTGCCTGAAACACATTTTGAGACTTATGTTATAATAATCTACAAGGTTTCATCTATTTTTAAATATTTGAAATTGATTAAAATAACTTGCCTTAGCAGCCAGTAGATAAGGTACCAGTTCTTCATTAACTGAAAGGTTTACAAGAACTTTCAGACTCTGAACTTTAACCATATGTGAGCCAGAATCTAGCATTGCAAATAAAGTGGGGATGAAGCGCTTATAGCTATCCTGATATGTGTTCTCTGTGGAGAGATTGATAAGGGGACGTAAAGCATTCAGCCTGATGTTGTCATTCAAGTTGTCATGTAGCAGAAGATCAATGAGTGCTGGCACAGAATCCTGAAAATAAAAAAAATAAAACATTCAAGACTACAATTTTCTATAAAAAATTAGTATAATATTGTCTTATGCAAAAGAATTGCTCAATTCTCACTAAGTAATAGAAAAAGTGTTGCACGCTTTTGAGTTATTAAAATATTAATTTAGAAAGTAAATCACAATTAGTTCTAGTGTTATTTCCTGGTTACAAATTACTTTTATAATTATTGTATGCCATGTAAAGGTTTGAATTGCCAAGTTAAATACTTAATCATCTAGGTGGAAGAGTGTTTCTTGTTCATTTAAATTTGTCAAGCCTTAACTATGTCAAGTTCTGTATCTGAGTTTTAAAAAAATCACATTTGCTCCTACTGTATACAAGATGTTTTAATGAACCTACCCCAAGTTCCTGCTGGGTTTTAGGGTCCATGCTGAGATTAGTCAAGACTTGACTTGTTGAAACCAATAGAGTTTCTGTGCCTGAATCACCATCAGCAAAGGATTTACAATACTTCTGTATCTGTCTTGTGATCTCAGAAGGGCAACCACTCTCTCTGATACTGTTCTGTTAAAGGATAACAGATAATTGACCAGTTGCAATTTTTTCTTTACCAAGACTGTGTTGTGTTATAAAAGTTACAATAATTTTTAGAAATACATTTTTAACAAATTAAATCAATATGCTGTGAATGTAGGCCTTTGCATATGCAGTGAACTAACATATTTATAAACAGGAAAAGAAAGAGTTTACTTACAATATTTTGAGTAAAAGCAGCAATTCTAACCAGGGAATCCAAGACAGTGCCTTGTAAAACAGGACTATCCTGACGCAACTGATCTACAAGACTGAAGATTTCAGCTTTTGTTACATTCATTGGAGAATTCTGGCACTTATCAAGTACTTTAGATATCTCCACAGACTCCACATTGGCAACTGGTACACTTGATTCTATTGTTTCTAAGGACTGGACAGCCTCTTGCACAGGTGGATCCAATTTAGCGGCCTCACTAGTTTCCACTTCTGTAGATGGTTCTTTTGAGTCATCTACTTCAGCTGGCTCTCCTGAAACTACACTTAAATCTGCTTCACCATCACCCACATTAGACTCATTTTTTCCCTCAAATGACGAGTACAGGAGTGTCTGCTCTGCATCAAGTATATAAACATCTTCCTTGACTATCTCATCTTCTGATGGTGGGTCTTCAACTATCTCCTTCATGTCCAGCATTTCTCCTGACAATATAGCACTGGCTTCTCCACTTGCAAACAAACTCTCACCAGAATTAGGAAACAAGGACAGTCCAGAGGTTTCACTACAATTTTGATTTGATTCTTCAATGACAACCATGCTTGTTTCAATAGGATCTGTTAAGTTTTCTTCAAGTCTTTCAGAGCTTATTTCTTCTTCTTTCCCAGCATCAAAGACTGCCTGGTTGTTGATGTCTCCTTTTTCTTCCTCCTCTGCGCCAGCTACCTCATCTGCTGTTTCCCCGAGTCTGTCATCATCAATAACATCATAGGAGCTTTCATCACTACTTCGATCTGATTTTTTGTGCTTGTTGATACTGTCTGGCAGTTCAACTCTTTCATTATCTAGTACAATAAAACTGTGTTGGTTCTGTCCAGCTTCCTCACATGTTCCTTCATGGAAATCACTTAGCTGCTTTGATTCTTCTGATATATCAGCCAGAAATTGTTCAGCTTCCTCTGGCTCATTGTCTGGCTATGAAAATAAAAACTATTTTAGTACACCAAAAATTAATTTTGTTGTTGTAAGAAAAGCATAAAAAAGAAAATGAGATAAAACTCATTCCAAACTTATCAATGACAATGTTAAAACACATGAGACTATTATTTATCAGCATTTTTTGTATTGAAATAAGGAAAAAAATAAAGTATACATTAGAATGCTAGATGTTACCTATATAAAAATTATTATTTTATAAAACTGAACTTCAATATCTTAGTAAAAGTAGAATATTTTACCATGTTACCTCACCTGTTTTTACTAAATAAAAGGATTGTTTATAATACATTTTCAATCAGTTTTAAACCAAAATTTTAATATCATACCTGAGAATCAAATTCAGCATTGTCTCCTACGAATTTTGTTTCTGTTTCATCCCCGCTAATGTTTTTTCTGGTTGGCTTGCTTGGTTTATCTAAACACATTGTTTAAAACATTAAACAGTTACTGAATGATCTTTTACCGTACTCATTTGTGAACAAAACTCATTTTAACAGAATGAGATCATCACTTAGAAAATCTTAAAACAAAAAAATTGAGTAGTACATTATGTGTTGATTAATTTACTAGACTCAATTTAGTATTTTTGCCTAATTTTTTAAATTATTAGTCACACAGCCATTTAATAATCATTAGCCTATATGTAAAAGTGAACAAAAATTAAAATAATAACATCCATGAACAAAAATTTAAAAATTAATAAGATCCAAACTATAACAGATAGAACCACCAACCCTTGTCAAGCTACTTGAAGCGCAACCACTCAATTGGAGACCTGACTAACATTAACATTAAAATATGCCAACTCTGGGAGTTTGAGCCCACTGTAGGTCATTAACGGTTCTCAATTGATTAATTAATTAAGACTAATCACAAAATAAGATTACAAATTTCCTGTATGATGCTATAGCAGTAAAAAAAAACAGCCCCTCTCCCTTTTTGAATTACACTTTTGACCCTGTTAGTAAAGTACATTTTTTTAAAGAAATGCTGTAAGTGGTGGAGAAGGGGGGGGGGGGGGGGGGGGGACGACTATATAATAAATAAAAGAAAGCAAAAAAAAATTCACTGAGGTAGTGACCTTGAATGATGTTGAGGAATACGGGGATACTTTTAATCCCTCGATTGGTTGGTGGCTAACACTGAAACACCAAGGGCGTCTCAAATCGTATACCTGTAGGCATACTTCTATAATATATAACTAGAACTCTGAGCTCTTTTTAAATCTATATCCATAGTTACAATATATTATGATAAATTTGAATCAAGTAAAATTCTCTACGAACCTAGTCTAGATCTAATCTAGAACAGTGGTCGATAACCTGGGTTTGATTGAACCTGAGAGATATGGTAAGTCAGTCTCATGGGTTTGGCTTAAGTCAAGACACACACCTGACTTATAATACTTATATGATTATTGACAATTGCATTTTTCAATGCGGACAATTATTTATTACTATTTATATTATTACTATTTAAGTCAAGAAGAGTTTAGGGTTAGGTAGTTTAGGACAGTAAATGGCTAAATGCACATTTGGTGGTGTTTGATACCTACAAAAAGGTTAAGAACCACTCATCTTAATAGGCCGGTTCATTGCTTAGATGGCTGGATTGACCTCTGACCCTGAAACGTCACGCGTCGTTTTCTGACGGTTTTTATGTTTATTTTAGGGGTCCTATACACGACAAAGGAAAAATTTGCTAATATCGCAAATTCTCATTATTATTTTAATGCGATATGCTAAATAATTGGACGCCATGCCTGAAAATAACCGAAAAAATTGCCAGATATGTGGTTCTAATTAATACACGCTATTCTTGTCAAGTACTCTCGGGAAAAACTGAACTGCCGCCTTAAACGGCCCAGTACATAGTCGAAATCCCCCGGTACAGATGCAGAAATATATAATTGAGATATTTATAATGAGTAATTACAGTTATGTTGATTCGCCTTTTTTATATCGAATTTCCATATGAGGTACCCATGCAGATATTTCTGTCCGCTTTGTTTACTATCGTGACGTCATTGTTACGCTAGTTACCTCACAGAAACAACTAGTTTTTGTTTTTTGCGGAATGAACTGTAAAGGCTAGTTTTTTAATTATAATTCAACTGTAGCGTGTGCAGAAAAAGTAAAATTGTGGAAATTATTATTGTATTAGTAATTTTATTAGTATATTGATTTTTTTCTTCTCTGCGGGCCGACAGTAGCTGCATTTAATTCGTGACCGGTGGTTAACCTCGTCAACGCTGCGTGGCCTATTCGTTTATATAATTAGTGATGCTCGTTCAGTGGCCTTTTTCAGAGCTAGGCCTAATTACTGGCGATTTTTAGACTTAATTGATCGGCCGTTAGCCTTTTTCATTGCTGCGTATTTTAAAAAATGCTCGTTCGGCGGCCTTTTTTTTTGCCGCTAAATAATCTGTTTACGGGCAGAGGCGTAGCAACCCTTCCCGGCGCCCGGGGACAAACTTTCGATTTGCACCCTCCCCCTCGAACTTTTCATTTGCACCCCCCTCATACTTTCAATTTGGCGCCCCCCCCACCTAAGGTCGGCGCCCGGGGACAAACTTTCGAGTTGCACCCTCCCCCTCGAACTTTTCATTTGCACCCCCCTCAAACTTTCAATTTGGCGCCCCCCCCCCTTAGGTCGGCGCCCGGGGACATATGCCCCCCCCTCACTACGCCTCTGTTTACGGGCATTTTAAGCGTTTATTTGTTATTTTTTTTAAGCTAGACGTAGATCTAGTTAAAAAAATATTTTTTTTATACAGCTGGCTGTCTAGCATGCCTGACTGATATGTGAACTTTAAAAAAATGACCAAACTTTTAAAAAAAATGACCAGAAGTAGGGAAGTAGGTCTGTTTTTCAATTTGCTTGAAGAAGGGGGGGGGGGGGAGGGAAGAGAGAGAGAAGTGAAGACACCGACCATCTCGTGTACGCGTGTTCATTCTATGACGTGTACTATAGGCCTGCTGAACTCACGGTGACCCGCGACCGTGGTGGGATTTTTCATCCACAGGATAGTAAACGTAAGCAAGCAATCACGCGAGTGACGATGTTTGGAGATTTTATTTTAAAAAAAATCACATACGTCATGTTTTCAAGATGAAAAAAAAATGTAATGTAAAAAAAAAAAAAAGACACCATGTATGAACCTCAGCTGCCACACTGTTGACTCAATATAATGTGATTGAGTGTAGATCTCTAAAATGTATTTGTATTTATAAACTATATTACTATCATATTATTTTAAGCATATTTATTATTTAAAATTAGAATTTGAAATACAAATATTTATTATGGTAATTTGATTTATGCAGGTGTTCATTACTTCATAAAATGGTATGAATAACATGTAGAGTAGAATTTAATAAATAATAAAATAACTAGGCCTAGATCTCTAGTTTTATTATCAACCAGGTGCTTTTTGTTATTTTCCGGTGAGTAAATAACCTAAGCTGACGCAATTACCATGGCGGGAATTAAAAGCTCGTGAACACAAGTCCACGACGTCATGTTATGCCGGTCGAGGAGCAAAAACGATGTTCTGACTTTCATTTTCCATTGTCGGTTCATTTTCAAATTCTCTCTTTTCTCGTCAACCGAGTAAGCTAGATATTTAAATGTGGTGTCAAATGTTCTCTTAAGGGGTAAGGAACTTAATGGTGTGTTTGAAATAACACAATATTTTATTTAAAAAAATCCATAATTAAACCTACATCTTAAGACTATTCTAGATCTAGATGTTAAAATAAGAGAGGCTACTTGAAATAGATTTCATCATCTATCATTTGATATAGTTTAATACAAGGCCTAGATCTATAGATAATAGATTTTAGTTAGATCTATATTCTAGATCTAGATTCTAGATCTAGAAGTAGTTGTGCTAGTTCCCGAGATTTCTATGGATTTTTTAAGGCAGGATTTGTCATTGGTTGTCCTTGTTGTTCATTTGTTAACTTCGCCGGTTGTTTCATGATTATGATTCACTTTAACTAAAATTAAGTTGATTTAAAATGCCGCTTCTTACCTTTATAGCCAAATTTTTTAAGCAAAAGAAATGACACCAAAACAATGCCGGTTGCTGCAGAAACACCAATAGCAATTTTACTATAATCTGGAGGTCCCATCTTTCATAAGAAACGGATGTATGAGCTTGTGCCGATAATAGGTCTTTCGTTTTATTTATGTTTTCGACAAAAATAAATTTGTAATACTTGATTGATTTTATGCAGGTCAATTAGATCTATATGCTTAAGCTTTAAAATTGTTTTTAAATAAACCCTAAGAGTAATTTTTTGTATAGGCCTACAGTTTAGCATATTAATTTGCTTTTTTGCCAATTTACGACAACTATAAAAAAGAAAAGATGTTCTCTGGTAACTGAACAATCAACAGCTCCCAATTCTCTCCCCCCCCCCCCCCCTACCCATTTTTAGTTTGCATAGCCTACAAAATGTATAGAGCCTATCTATGTTTTTGTAATGTAATAACATAGATTTCCCAAAATAATAAATCACAATTCTACCTCGACATACACATGACTCGAAATTTTTTAGATAAGAGTAAGAGCGAGCGAGTGATATTTTTTGCTTTGAAATACGAGTAAAATTTGATATAGGAAGACCTAAGAGTTGATTTTTTAAAAGGCCATCAGATGAAAGTGAAGAAACCGTGGCTATAAAGGCAAAGACCAGTGAAGAGAAAATTAATCAAAAGTAACAAATATGTGTACACCGTGGCATTTTTGTTCAATTAACTTCGTGCAGTATAATTCCAAAAATGCATGGATCACGCATAGCATTAACAGTGCAACAAGTAACTGAATTATGTTACCGAAAGTTTAGCATTTACAGTGTAGCGAGTCCGTGAACGAAGTGAAGCTCCTCAGCCTACACCTCCCCAGCACTTTATAAATCCAGTTTATTTCTTTAACTTAACTTTTATTATGATTTTATACAAGATTTATCATTTATGAATACAGTTTTTATTTTTATTTTAAAAACTCATAACAAAAACAATTGGCACGGCATTGGGAGGGGTGGGAGGGGTTGGAACGAATTAATAGCTTCTCAATTCATTTCAATGTGACAAATTGCTCTGAGATATAGGAGCAAATTGACATACGAACAATGTTAAGGAACGAATAAAATTAAATCTCGAGATACTCGGTTTTCGCATTGTGCACAGTTAGGGGAACGTTGTCGGCGTGGTAGAGGAGTGCTAACTAACTTGAACCAGAGGCGGGGGACAGAGTTTCTTCCAAGCATCTCTTCGGGGGGGGGGGGGGGGGGGCAAAGCCCCCCCCCCCCCCGGAAAATTTTTACCGCCCCCCCCCCCGAACGAAATGAAATTTATATAATTTATATAGAAAATATATACTTTTAACAGTGTCCGCCCCCCCCCCGAAAATTTCAAGTGCCGCCCCCCCCCGGAGAAAAAAGTCTGGAAGAAACACTGGCGGGGGATGAGGACCAAAACCGGGTAACACTTGGGGGGGGGGGAGGGGTTGACACCAATCAAAAATTGCAAATTATATCGAAGAAAAATCATTTATGCAATTCAAGTAATTATTGATTAGAGTTAAAGAAAAGCCTTTTAAGTACAAATTGACGATCCCGACAAGGAGAAGGGGGGGGGGGGGGGGGGGGGGGCACACACTATTGTGTGAACTTGCTATCAGCTGTGTTAACCGACTGCAAGATTTACAGAGTAAAAAAGGTTTTGTCGATCCAGTCAATCAACAATTGAGGATGGAGTGACACCAAATAATTTACTATATAAACGACGCTTTTTCCACATTAACTAATAGGTGGATTAATACTGTTCGCTCAAATAAACGCTATTAGGCAAAATGAGAGGAGGTGACACAATAGAAACTATATATATATATATATATATATATATATATATATATATATATATATATATATATATATATATATATATATATATATATATATATATATATATAGTCTTAGGGGAAGTGACACATTGCTGTGCCGCACCAGGTGACACCCGACTTAGCGACGCCACTGACCTGAACTCAAGCATGAGACTGTCTTTCATGCCCAAACCAGGTGGGGGGGGGGGATGGACGTGGGGTGTGGAGTCTGGCTGAAACCAACGGGACACAGGATGGTTAGCATTTAGGAGGTTCACAGCATGGCTGCAAGATATAGGGGAAATAGGCTAATTTGTACACCTGAAGGGGGGGGGGGGGGTGCAAACCAAATTTTAATTCGTCGGAAAAAGTTTTTATTTTTTACCTTAAAGCAATCTTTATTTTCAGCTGTATAAAAAGTCATGATTTTTATAATTTGAAGTGGTAATTATTAAAATTTCCAATGGACACTGGTTAAAGTGTATAGTTTCTGTATATGCTATACATTTTTGTTTCGCCCCAGAGGAGGTTAATGTGCTCAGGGGCCCACTCCCACTGGAGAGATGCCTACAAGAAATTCTGGGCAAAACCTAGACACAATTGACTTACCGCCCCTCTTTTACAAAGGTACGTATTACCCACCTCTATCCTAGATCTACATATTAATAAGTGCGTTAAAAATCCCGTGGTGAAATGACACATTTGTATAAAATCTACAAACTAGAACATTGAAAATTCATTAGATATCAGTAACGTATGCAGCAATCCGGAGTAGGGGAGCGGCAAGTGCGCAAAAAGGCGCCAGCTTCTCAATGTTTAGTATAATACTTAATAAAGTCCCCAAAATGGTCGAAAGGGGGACGGGGGACGTAACCCCTCCCCCCAGGTCCCTCTGTATAGACACATAAACTCTACATTTTAAAAATCGAAACCCCTTTTTTAAAAACTAATTATTACACTCAGAAACTGTACAAATGGAAACATATTTAATATTAGAATTATCAAATTAATTAAATATACTTATAGAAAATCCTTCAAAACCACTTCCAAAAAGATGTTAGACTATAGATTCTAGTTGTCTGACATAGACAGGCACCCCCCCCCCCCCGAAGAAATTATACCCCCCCCCCCCCCGTACGAAATGAAATTTACATAGAAAATATATACTTTTAACAGTGTCCCCGGAAATTTTATTCAGTCCCCCCCCCCACCCCGAAAATTTCTGGAGCCCCACTGGAGTCTACATATAATATAATATATATAGGCGACAGTTTCTGGTGTACTGGACAGTCATTTATCATACGAAGGGGTAGGGAATTTGATTTTGTAATAATGTGTTAGGGTGGGTGCATTTATCACACGAAAGTGGTAGAGAGTATGATTTTGTTAAAATATATTAGGGATTATAAGGGTGTTACATGACACTGACTTACATTTTTCTCGTTCGTTATTTTTACTTTCTCGTATACGAAGTATAGAGGAAGTGTTGTAATCGTGCAAAAAAATGAAAATCGAGATTTTCACAAATCTCGACGTTTTACACTTCCCTAAGTCGGAAAAACATAGTTTTGCAATTTTGTCCGTATGTCTCTGTGTGTGTGTGTGTGTCTGTCTGCCTGTCTGTCTGTCTGTCAACACAATAACTTGAGTATCGTTACAGCTAGCTTGATGAAATTGCATTTATAAGTATTATATCAATTTTGTAGTTCTATATAAACTTTTCAGCAATTTCCAATAACCGGAGGTGGAACTTATTCTATAATTAGTTTTTCAAAAGCCTATACCTTGAGTACAGTTTCAGATAGATAAACGCAATTTTACAGATTAGTAAAAGATCTAATTTTCTGCCTTCTGTCAAATATTTTTAGTAATTTCCGTTGACCGGAAGTACTAATTTACGCTATTTCCGATTTATGAACAAAAAAACCGCATATGAATTTATATTGTACTCATAATATTCCGCACTATTATACACATATTGTTTGCCGAGGTTCTATTCCATTTTCAAAAGTTTAAGTAATTAAAAATTGATTCAAAATTATGTCTATATCCCGAGTTGCCATCCCCCGTAGTGTTATATAAGAATATTCGAGAAAGTTTAGGGGAGCTCACTCCCGGTTTATTACATTATTTTTATGGTTCGATGAATAGGTTGGCATACTGATTCGACATTATTTTCTTTTTACTCAGTAAAATTGTTTTTGCAATTGTTTTTATAAAACATTCTGTTTCCCTTCATTTGTTTTCAACCATAGGATTTTTTTATTTGCAGTAGCAAAATGTCAACATTCATGTGTGTGTGAGGGTGTGCCTAGGAAATAAATGTTTTGTAATAGGTGGGGTAGTTTATGGAATATTTGTTCTTTAGCAGGATATGTGGGGTAAGAAATGTTTGTGACATATACTTTATGTACAATATTTTATAAGATAACAGCATTTCTACATTATTAGACGGCAGCAATGTAATTTTTAAAACAACTTCCATGCAGAATTAGTCTGCAAAAATCTATAATGTTTCAAACAACTTTCTTGCGGTTTAGTCTAGAAAGCAGTGTCGCGCGTGGAAATACCGACAGCGCTGGAAATATCGATTCGGTGTATCAGCCTCTGGCCCAGGAAGCGCCGACACTGTTTCTCCTGAAGCTTTCTGCCCACTCTTGTCGTCTGACGACCCGTGTAGGGAGCTGGCAGCGCCCCGCCGTTCTGAGAGCGACCCTGCTGGGGAGGCTGGTCTACCTTGGTACAGGAGCTTTCTATCATGGCAGCGCTGTGATTTACTCACACCACAATCTCTAGCCGAGGTGAGTACATTAGAAACATCAGATTCTTTAAACGTGGTCGGTCGGCTGTTCTAAACCAAGTTCCGGCGCATGTGTGACTCAGCGTCAACTCTCGGTAGTCATTGATTAGTAGTGACGTCACCTAGCTATGTGTTGATGTACCTGTGTATTGACTCAGTTTTTAAATAGCATCGGATTGCCGGCATTCCTGCCTGTGTTTGGGGGACAGATAATACAGTCTGGGGAGGGGGGGGGGGCAGAGAAATGACGTCACAGTCTCATGACGTCTAAACAATAATTAGAAAAAATGTTTTGATGAATTCTGAAATTTAGCAAGACAGTTTACAGATAGAATTTTGTAATACATTTGTGTAGTCGTGTGATGACTGTACAGAAGTTGTTTGGGAAAACTACCAAGTTTCTAAAGGCATTCAAAAAACTCGTTCGTCTAATAAATGAAATTGTCCGAATTGTCGGCACCACACATAGAAAATCGATAGCGCTGAGAT